TAGCAGACATAGCAGACACTGACAGCGGATACTAAATACCAAAAAAAAGCTTGGCAACAAGCAAAAATGGAAGCCTGGTTGCTGGCTGGCAGTCGCACGACAGGCCGTTTAGCAACAAACCGAGGCGCAAGTGTAGCTTCAAGAAAACTGCACAAGCACTGAAGCTCAAAACAACAAACTGCCACAGCGGTAGCCAAGTGGTAAGTGATAGTGAGATGAAGCAATAAAAAAGGTGTGGTCGCAGCAACCTGTTATCCCCTGGCCCCTTCATAACCCCTTACAAACGTCAAATCCTCGTGCAGAGTTGGCAGCACAACCCGTCCTCAGTCACATACACCCATTGTGAGAAAGAGAAAAAGCAAGCCACGCCGTGAAAGGTGTTTCGGTGCCCCCAACCAACCATTCCCCAGAAGAATGCAGCCGCTACTTGCCGTATCTCTGTCCTCTGTCCTTTTGTGTCGGCGGCACGGAATTACGATGTCCGTTTGACGCGTGTTCCGTCGAAGTTTTCGGCGACAAGCGCCGCCTTTCGACCACCACGGCTGTGTGGTCTACGGAGAATCCTCTACGCAGTGTGTGGTATTTTCTAAGCAGTCCTAATTGAGAACCATGCCCACAAGAACAAAAAAAAAAATATTTGAAGGGCCAGCAAAACTAGTCCATTTTCACACTTGAGAGCCAACAGAAACGACGCCGGTTCCCCCCCAAGCGTGGGCTCGCACACATAAATTGGGCAAAGTTGAGGCTATGTAACAAACTCAAGTTCCTAGGCTACGTTCAAACCAGGAACATGCGACATTCAGAGGCCAATGCCCCAAGCACTGTACACAAGACTCAACTTAAAACAGGCACGCAAAGTACACATGCAGTAATCCCTCATTATAACGAAATCGCTTTCATCAAATTATTGCTGCTATCAAAGTTCATTGCGGTTACGACCGAAATGCATGCATTGTGAACCGGATTATTCGGTGTATCGGCGGACGGTCACGCCTATTATGAAGGCCGAGGTGCCAAAATCCTGCAAGCCTACACGGAGGTGCACGGAGACCCTTGCGTTCCCTCCCCACTTCTCCACCGAGGCAAACAGCAAACTGGAAAAATTAGAAACAAGAAAAAGGAGCAAATAGGTGACAGAGGGCAGAGCAGGCAGAGCGCCGCTTTCGATGTCGACGCCCCGACGCGGGCAGGGAGCAGCGGAAGCCGCGTCCACGTTCCGACTCTACTCCAGCACCTGCAGCCGACACTGCCCGACTTCTGTCCAAATCGAATCAAGGGAGTGATGAAGCCTGGAGGAGATCATCTCTTTGGGAGCCCCCGACGCGTGCACCTCTGCAGGCACGCTTGCAACGTACTACACGCACATTTGCGTCGTATGGAAGAGTGGATGTGTTTACCAAAAATCGCTTAGATCTGCGAGGTTGAGAAAAGCGGCCGGCCCAAGTATAAAATCACCAACAAATTCAAAATTTCCACATCAGCTGTTCGACACTGTCCACCATTTTGCAAAAAGAGCAAGAAATACTAGCTAGGTTCGACAAATTTCTCATGCAAGAGAAAGCGTACCAGCGACCCGAAAATGAAAGATCGGATTTTCGGATTTTCTCTCGCGAGCATGCTCGCCGAGCTGGACAACAATTCCCAGAGCTGCAACGACATCTCTACAGGAGTGTGTGAAAACTTGTTGGCGAAGCCACAGAGGATAACTTTGATTCGCTTGCGCTTGTTGATGCAGACGTTCCCGTTGTTGCTCATGCCACAAATGCTGCGACCGTAGACCTCGTGCGCGGCCAGGGTAAACACGAAGCGACGTCGGAGAGGCACGTTTAGAAACGCCGAAGACTGCGGAGATGCGAAACATCCTACGGCTGCTTTGAAGCAAAGTGGCGTGCAGCGGCAGCGACGGTGTTCTTGCGATGCCTGGAGTAGTTTGAGAAGAACTGATGCCCGGATGAAATTATCGCCAAACTCCACTTCATTATTTTTTTTACTCGGTAAAGCTACTGTGAGATGTTTATAACAAAGGTCTGTTTGATTAAACATGCGGTCAGGGTGTTCCGCAGTGTTCCCATCCACCTTCAAGGCTGCTGGTGCTGTTTTTTCTTACAGATCGTTTTTATTGAGTTACCGCTTATATCAAATTTTTTTGCTGTCCCGTCAACTTCGTTATAACGAGGGATTACTGTAAATCTCCATTCTAGAGAAAGCGAAAACTCCATTCTAAAGAAAGCAAGTGACCTAGTAAAAGCTCTCAAATGCACCCTATGAATGTACATGCATGTGAAACAAATTATGTTAGTCATATAAAGACAGCTTCATTATGGCAATTACACGTAAATGTGCGTAAGTATGAAGGGTACACAATCGTGAAAAAATTACGAGTTAAGTCAGGACATATCACAAACAGACAGCGAAGCACGAGGGAAAAGACATGCCCATTAGGAATGTCTGGAAGAGCAATATCGGGGCATACCTTTGCGACAGGCATGACAAACACAAGAGAGGAGTACCGTATTTACCCGCATAATAAACACACTTTTTTCCCCGAAAAATAGACACATATCTGGGGAGGGGGGCATTTATTACACGGGGTAAAATTTTTGCATTTACACACTTCGTGCAAATGTCGTATTAGGTGCCAATACGACATGGCAAGGTACTGTGGCACGTTTCCAGTGATGGAGGCACACCCACGGCTAGTCGGGTGCACGCCACAATAACCATGCTCTATAACTTGCAAACCCTTTTTAGGGCGCTTTCGGGGTGCCTTTTGCCGAAGAAAAAGCGCCCTACGAAGCTCACTCGGCACGAAAAGCAACACGACCGTTCTTAGGCGATATATATTGCTAGTATCCGGCGCGCACGCTAGAGGCTACCAGACACTCTCAGCCTACAGCGCAGCGCACAGCGTACACCTTGCTGTGCCGTTCCGTTGCGGATTAAATAAACGCATTTACCTGGAGTACGTGAAATTAGGCCTAACCACTTTCACGATTTCACCGTCCGAAATGGGACCACAGACGACGACTTGTTTGTTGACATCAATGCATTTGACAGGCGAAGAATGTCCAGGGCTCGGCAATCCCTCGGCCCAGGCTTCGTCAAGTGTGCGCGACACTCGGTTTCACGGTTGATCACTTCCATAACTACCACAACTACGCACTTGCGGCTATTACGAGAGCAGCCTGGCTTGGCTCGACTTGACCTGACCCCTTGGGGGGCAAAAGAAAACTGGCTTGGTGGCTTGCTAAATGGGACAAAATTCGAGACTCGCGGATCCGAAAATTAGAGGTGTGTTGAGTACAGGAGGAAAAAAAAGGTCAAGATACTGGTGCCTGTTGTGGGAAGTGCGTTTATTATGCGAGTGCGTTTATTATGCGAGTAATTACGGAACACCGGGGGTCCGGTTTTGGTCACCACGAGGTCAAGAGATAATATGTCTCTCACGGAGCGAGCAAAAACGGCGCTCGTAGACTGTTCGTTCGCTAACGCGAAATGCGGTTTGTCTGCTACGAAGCGTCCTACACAGAGGGAAATAAAACAAGCAAACACCGTATGTCACCTGCTAAAAGAATAAAGAAAAAATGAAAGACGTTTACAAATCCCTGGTGCAAAATTAGAGCGCAGCTGTTGGGGGGAGGAGGGGAGGGTACGAAAGGGAGGGTATGCCCCTTCTCCTCCTCCTCTGCACTCTCTCCTCTTCCCCTCCGTACCCTCCTCTCCTCCTCCGTACCTTCCCCTTCTCCATACAGTTTCCCCGCTAAATTTAGCTGAAAACATTAACGCCACGTGACTTCAACACAGATTTAGTTCCCCTGCTAAATTTAGTGGGAAAATGACGTCACACGACTTGGTGTCACGTCACCTATGAACAAATTCAGTTTCTCCGCCAGATTTAGCGGGAAAATTAGCGTTACATAACCCCAACAGCAATTCAATTTTTCGCTAAATATAGCAGGCAATTGAATTGCTGTTGAGGTCACATGAGGTCAATTCCCCGCTAAATTTAGTGGGGAATAGAATTTATGCTAAAATCCTGCCCCTTCCTCCCCCCCTCCCCCTCCCCCCCGACGTCAATTTTTCCACTAACTTTAGTGCGGCTGTGCCGACGGCAACGCCGCAGAACATGGAAAAGGGCACCCAAGAGCTGCGCTCTAAAAGAAATAAAAGACGTTTACAAATCTCTGTAAGGGAAAATTAGAGTGCAACTCTTGAGGAGAAGGAGGAGGGGAGGGTATGCCCCGCCTCCTCCTCCTCCATACCCTCTCCTCCTACTCCCGCATACCATCCCATGCTCATCCTTTGTACCCTCCCCTCCTCCCAGTTTCCCCACTTAATTTTGCTGGAAAATCGACGCCGCGTGACCTCAACACCAATTTGGTTTCCCCACTAAATTTAGCGGGGAAATTGACCTCAAATGACTTCGTGCCACGTCACACATGAACAAATTCAGTTTCTCCGATAGATTTGTGGGAAAACTCACATCACGTGACCTCAACACCAATTTAATTTCCCGCTAAATTTAGCCGGGCGGCTACATCGACGGCGACGCCACTACACGCGGAAACGGGCGCCCAAGAGCTGCGCTCTAAGAGTGGATTGTCTACCATAAATCGGGTGCCGCGGCAATGAGAGATCGGACACAGGCTTAAATTGAGATTGTCTGTTATATTTTATGTTGGGAGCCATTGACAACTTGCGCTTCGTTTGCAAATCTCGAGTCATTCTGCTGCCATCCACAAGCTGACAGCGACCGGCGAATGAAGGAGTAAGCACGTAGCAGGCTGCAAACGTCTCTCGCTAGTTGTACTTTGGTGAGGTGTTCTCACCAAGATCTTGTTCGATTGTGAGCTCGCGAACAGGTCATAAATGTCTCATTGGTTGATCACGCGCAAACTGCGGTACCACGTCCAGTCAGCAGCCGCTAACTCTCTTGCTCTCGCCTTGACCAAAACCGGACTCCAGGAGAGCTCTCAGGAAGGTCTCATAATCTCACATACCTGATGAAGAAAAAGAAGAGCTGCGGACAGGACCCGTTGGTACTAGAGGCCGGCACTCTGCTAGCACCTGCTCCCTGCAGTGCTTGTGAGCATTGATGCCACACTCTGCACGTGGAACGTCCAAGGTCATTCAGAGGTCAGTCCGAAGGTCATTCAGTCGTAAATATGTCTTGCAGATGTCAGAGGAGCAGAAAAACTAAACCTCAAGCCTTCATCCACACTCGAGCTTGCTTAACACAGCCGAGCATATTATGGTTGTGGGCACCGATGGCGTACCTCATGCAGGATTTGGAAAATTATCATGAGGTCAGTGACAAGGTCACTCAACTCCAGAGAAACAAAGAGACTAAACTTTAAGCCTTTGCAGGTGCTTAGGCCCTCTTAACCCTGCTGAGTACACTAGGGTTATGACCACTGATGCTAGACTCCATGTAGGATGTTCAGGGTCATCTAGAGGTCATTTAAAGGTAATTTAGAGGAGTTAGGACATGCAAATTTTACGGGGTAAATTATTCTTGAAACGAAATACTCACAGGCTACTTAGAATACACTGCAAACTTCGCAATTTTCAGAGGTCCAGTAATAGCAATAATCAATTTACGAATTTTGATAGCTTTCATCTGGCGACCGGGCAACACTGCCCGAGTTAGCAGCACCATGGTGCCCATAAACCCCATGATCACAAATGCTCTTTCATTTTAGGCATCCCCATGACCACCCAAGCATGCCGCGCCACGGTACATTCAAAACTTAACTCTCGCACAAGTCGGCTACTCGCGTTCTCATTCCTGGCCCTTTGACCTTCCACCCTGCACATATCTGCGACATCGTCACAAACGACAAAGACTACAGCAAGTTTGTCCGCGATTGTCTTGTCGCCGCCGGAGCTGGTCACCAGCAAGTCGCGGTCCAATATGACCAACTTTCAACAATTCTAGATAACAATGACTTTCATCGCTGCTGCGTTCAAAGAAATCAAAGCTCGCTTCGTCGAAGACTTCGACAAAGTGAGCAATGCCGTAGACTTAATCGTCTCGAAACCGCGTGCTCGAAACGCGGAAGGTGAACGGGGAAGCTGAAGCTCGAGACGCCAAGAAAGCCAACTCTGCGAGTGTGTGCAAAAAGAACAGCTCACTTCGGGCAGCTGACGTCACCAACCCAATGAACACGGCAACCTTTTCGGATGGGGCGGATCCGAGGGTTCCGCGTATAGACCAACACGCGGCCCTGATGTCACGCAGCTGCAGTAGCGCTGTCAACGGCACTGTGCATGTGCAGACGCTTCACTTCACGCGAATTCGGTTTCCGCGCACGCGCAGTGCCCACACCTGGTGTGGGCAAACGCGGGCTTGTTTGTAAACAGCGTGCCGGTCTATAAATCGATTTATCCAAGAAACTATCATGTCATTTTCGAATAGAGCAGCTCCCTACACGACGGCTGCTCGATGTTTCCTACAATGATTAACAATGTGTGGCACCAGGGCCCATTAGATACTTCAGACGTACACTGCGAGACACGCAACACCGATACATAAGCCCAAAGGCAACACAGTGAAACTAAACTGAAGGGATCTAGTAATGTCACACTTTGCATGAAACACAATATTGTTTCAGTCCCAAGGTCATTGGCATGTGACCCTGCATGTCCAACATTGCCGACACATATAAGCACCCCATGGATCAAAGAAGTCTTAAAAGTGACCATACTTTATATGGCTTCGAGCATCGACATTGCTCTGCCCAAAGAATTATGAGATCATTTGAGAGTCATTCCCCTAAGAACACTTAAATCATCGTACGTTGAGATATTATGTTTAGAATACCACTTCATCTATGACAGTGCTCTTGTCACATCTTGTTCTTGACTCGCCAGTGTAAGCCTATTAATTACATTCACCAACTGTGTTACAAGCACTCACTTTTGCACTTGAAGCCTTGTTTAATGAGTCCCCAGAGCTGAAAAACAAAGAGAAAGACTTAAAGAAGCAGCCTGTAAGAGCCAAGGGAGACTTGTAACCACCACAGACCTTTCCTAACTGCATACATTGCATACAAAATACTTGGGCTGCACCATCTAGCCAATGCTTTTTGAATATCAATGGCTAACCTCTACCTAATGTACAAAACATTTCTCAGCCTTAAAAATCACTGCCCGGATGAAATGAGCTGAACAGACCGGCTTTACGTGATGTAATTTTAAGGTAAAACTTCCCGTCGAAAAAAGGTCAGGATGAAGGCTCTCAAACTGCAGTGCGTGATGTCATGACTTCGCTGGGTGAATATGACTTGAAACAAGTTTCTGAAGATGCTTCAAACATTTGGGCAAATCCCCGAGATTACACTGAATCTTCAAATCACACAAAAAGGGCCTCAAAGGTTTCGCAAACCTTTGGAATCTTTTGAAGGTTTTCATTGTCCTGCAGAGGCTAGGACACAAAAGCCAGAGTCCTAGGATGACGACGACAACAGTGCCTTCACCCAAGTCATTGTATGATAACGCAAGGACTGTCAGGAGCAGATGAAATCGAGTATAAATCAATTAAATGCCAAAAATAAGCCAATGCAAATAAATTAGGAAAACTACACTAATCCCCTTGTTACACGATCACCCTCAACCGCAGTCAAATGCGACTGAGGTGGCACTTAACTGCGGTCAACAATGCCCGTGTAAATAGAATATAACAAAACTACACTCGGTCACTATTGGACTCGAGTGTCTGAACCAGCCTTAAGGGGAGACACTGCCCAGAAAAAAAAATTTCTGCAAAAAAAGCTGATTTTGAAAAATGACATCTTTACATACACCAACATCTAGAGAGTATTCCAAAAAAGTTTCATTAATTTTCACTGTATAGTTAATTTTTTATAAATTATTTTCTGTCCACCAAAGCTATAGAAAAGGTAGGGTTTGGAGCACTTTGAACACATTTTTCTCCGTTCCACTTTTTGGTATAAATTCCATTTTAGTCAATCTATCATTTGATAATGGCAAAACACGGAAAGCTCATTCTTCCCTTTTCCTGACTGAAATTTAATAAGGAGTGCGGCTATGGAACTTTTTTGTCACTTTACGGATGTCTTTTGTAAGAAATGTTGACATTTTGTCGAAGGCACAGAAGACCAAAAAGTTGACCAATTTTGCAGAAGAGAAAATTTATAGAAATAGATTACTTTTTAGAAAACATTTCCCATAGCCGCACCCTCTAGGCATTCTGCTACATATCTAGCAAATAAAAATCTTTAATATCGCAATAGTTTTCTGACGATAGATTAACTAAACAATGTAGGCGTGTTGCTGGTAAAAGCTACTCTAATTTCCTTCTCATCTACCTGAGAGACCTGAAATTTTGTTATACACCCTCTAGCATGACCACCAGCCTACCCTGTAAATTTCATTAATTTTAAGACAAGGGTTCAAAAGTTGACCCCCCTAGGGGGTGTGCCCCCTTAAACCTGGTCTTAAAAAACAATAATTAAATATATATATATATTTTTCCTATTTTGTTTTCTGGTCTAAATGTCACTTACAACGTATTTCCTAATTACTACACTCAGGAAGTGCATAATCATATAGTTGGATTGATTCAAGGTTTCATACACGGGCTGTTTACAAGCAGCCTTAGAAAAGCTTCTATCCAGTTTTCTCAGGATTCCTTTTTTCGTCGCAACGCAAAGTTTGACCCACAATATTTTGGGATCTAGAACTTTGATCTCAATACTTTGTTTAGTGTTGGCAACTTCATGCAGACATCAAAGAGTGCAACGAAACTAATATTTTTCGAAAATCTTCACTGTACAAAGTTTTATTTATTTGGCAGACTTTAATGACGTATTTCTAATCATCAGCAAAAATAATTTCAGCCTGTAATAACTTTTTCGTTTTTCTAGAATGAAGCTAAAATTATAATTGTTTCAATGCATTCTACTGTCTGTAGAATATGCAGACATACTTAGTGCTGTAGTTTTTGAGGTGGTCACAGTAGAAACATTGGGCAGAAATGCATAGGATAAAGTTGAGATTTTCATGGAAAACATAAGAAATAGGAGAATAACGAGCTTAGGTTTGTGCCTAGCACAAAACAAATTATGGTACATGTGACAATGTAATAAAAATTGGACAAGAAATGAAAGAAATGCGTGGCAAATCGCTAGGCAATTGGGTTGCATACACGAAACATTCTAAATCATGAACGTTTACATAGTTTAGCAGCACGTCCAGCCTCTTCATAGAGTTGCCTATAATCACGGGGCTCCTCATCACATGATTTAACGTACGGCATCTGTACACTTGAAATGATAAACCTGATGACCTTTCATCCTCTCCCAACTTGCCTACCTCTCCTCCACACTCCACCCCTAGTCCCATGACCACCAGTTAGCCAATCGGCACCGAGCACCTCGCTCCCCCTCCCCCACCCGTCGACCAACCCGGCATCGAGCCTCGCAGCCACGCTTTTATCCAGGCTTCGCTTTTGTCTGGGCTTCATGAAATGCAGGACACCTAGCCAAAGGCTGTTTCACGTTAAAAAGTGTACAATACCAGGGTCTTCCCCCCAAAAAAAGACGCCGCGGTCAGCAGGAATGCGCGGCTAGCGCGCCGAGCAGACGCACCAGTCCCGTGCAGTGAATACAGAAGGTGGGCCGGAAGTAGGTGGTTTCGCTGAACTCGTGCCTAAACATGGCCCAGTTGGAGCGGAGGAGGAAGCGCTGCATGTCCTGGCGCCCCAACAGTTTGCGTTGGCAGTCGTCGGGAACCAGCCCGCGCAGCGTGGGGAAGCGCCCCACCACCTCCGCCACATCCTCCAGGCTCAGCAGGCCGTCCCGGTCCGTGTCATACTCGTGGAACACCTCCTGTACGCACAGACAGGGCATGTTCACACATACATTATAGCACCATTAGTTGGGACCAAACATTGTGCCAAACTTGCCAACGCACTGCCGACTTCTTGGCTAATATTAGTTCATATGCTACTAGTTCTGCGCCGGAGCTAAGTTACGTTCAAGTTAGCACCGCATTAGCGCTGTTTTCAGTGTTGATTTTGCGCTGCGCCGCATGTGCAATCTGGCCTAGAGCAAAGAGTACAGTAGACTATCGTTAGTTCAAACTCCAGGAAGCCACGAATTTTCTTCAGACTAGCAAAAGCTTGAATTACCGGAAATTCATCTAAGTATGCTATGAGATAAAATTGTGATTTTCCATATTAATGGCTAGACATACAAAGTGGATATTTGCTGATTTCCTCTACATAGGCCTGCTGATCATAAGCAGGTATGCCACATATGAAACATTGAGAAAATGTATGACATAAGTTCATTTATTCCTCAAAACTGTTGTTTATCGTGGACTGTTTAGACAGCACATGACAACTCAATAGAAAATTAAGTTTGTTCATCAGGCCAAGAAGTTGTCTAATGTAAACTATTAAGCAGGGGACAAGTGAGCGATGAAAACGGGCACCGCGCGGCAGTTTTCATAGTAACTTGTGCGGACGGTGTGACGTGGACCTCTGCCATGCCACCATGTCACGGCGTCCGCACAAGTTGTTACAGAAATTTCCGCATGGTGCCCATTTTCATAGCTCACAGTGCCCTGCCTGAGCCCCGTTGAGTGCGCTTCTCACCGAGCACAGATGCACTCCGGAGAAGCAACACCTTCAATAGCAAGCTCCGCGGGTGCTGCCTCTCTGCAGTGCATTGGTGCTCGGAAAGAAGCGCACTCAACGGGGGCCTCAAGAACAAAAAGTGTGAGCTGCACGAAAACGACCTTCGAATCGAACAGCTTACGAATACATAGAAAACATAGCGGGACAACCAAAATTTCAGAATTTGTTTGAATTAGTCAGAGGTAGGAAACATCCGAGTTTGAATTTTCGCGAACCTACTGTACAATTGATTTTTAGACGTCTCTCGCATTCCGTGCTGGCAACACTCACTTCATCCCATCCTCGTCGCCGAAGTGGAGCATTATTTGTTTTCTCAGAAACGTCAATGTCTGCGATCGTGCGACTTTTTTTTTTTTTTGTGCACATCCTTTGTTCTTTTGAAAATATTGTTTTCTTAGGTTATATCTAAATTATCTTCCATTCCTCCTCCTCCTCCCTTTCCCTTCCCTTTTCTTTCCTTCCCCTTCCCCTTTCCCTTCCCCTCCCCCCCCCCCCCTCCCAACGCGAGGATTCATGCCACTAAATGTTGCCCGCTGTTAGTTCCATGAATTATCTGCTTCTCCGGGGCAAGCGCTGAACTGGGGCAAGTGCTGAACTGAGACGTCACGGCTGTTCTTCAGAACTTTCTGGTACATCTCCCCAGAGAAAAGCAATAAACCAAAAGTATCCTAATTTCATGCTTTGACCGTGCACAGCGTCAATCAAGTATCTGCAGAAGATAATGCGATTCCGCTATGGCAGCTCTGTAGCAGAACCACAGAAGGAACTGACTTAGACAGAAACACGGGTACTTGAGTGCAGAATGCTCTTACCTCCACCATGTTGCAGATCTGCTTTTCGACTGACGCGGAGTCCGTGCCTTCAGGCACCTTGGAGGCAAACTCCATGGTCAGGGGTCGGGATGGAGACACCTGCTGGCAAGAAAGCAGTTGGAGAAAAACCCCAGCCAAAACTTTTACATAAAGCAGAGAAGGAAGTTTCAAAGACTTTCTAAAATTCAGTGCCATCTAGTGGCAGAAATATCAATTCAGCTTTGTGCACGTTCCGACAGGGACGTGAACAAAGCAAGGAAACAACCACTCTGTAAAAAGTGCCAGTAGCGTAGACAGGAGTGTTTTTCCATGGGGGGGGGGGGGGAGGTGTCTATACTCTGCGACAACTTTTCTTGGCAATGCAGTGGAAGGTACAGGCCGGCGTTCCCTCTCCCATTTTGAGTGTGCGCAGGCTCTCCTCCTCTCCCCATTTCCGGGAAGAGGAGGAGAGCCTGCGCACACTCAAAATGGGAGAGGGAACGCCGGCCTGTACCTTCCACTGCATTGCCAAGAAAAGTTGTCGCGGAGTATAGGATGTTTATGATTGGGGGTGTGGGTTCAACTGCATGATTATATTAAAGGATAGGCTAGATTTCGGGAAAAAAAGCTGAAGCCCCATAAGCCCCCTCCCCCGGTTATGCCACTGTAGAGCGTTGTCCTGAATAAAATCCTCGAGAAATTCCACCACATCAAGGGGCTTGTAGGTTGAGTGCGCATCAACTAACTGATTAGACGCGAGTTAAAACTGAATGCAATTCAAACACTGCCCCGTCCCAACGTCTAGGATTCACAGGTTTTCTGCTATTCTGGTAGCTGCCCATCTCCTAGAGGCAACTCCAAAACTCAACACCTACCATTGGGGCCCTTGGTTCTCGCATCAGGGACAGCTCAAAGATTTCGTCCTCGGTGTAGGGGGTGTCGAGAGAGAGCTGCAACGAAATGGACCACACGCTCAATTTGAAGGGTTCGGTTTCCAAGTCCGCTAACCGCCAACTCTGGCCACGTGTATCTTGCCAAGTTGTTTCAGCAGGCACGGGTCAGAACCATTCATACCGGGGGAGTTCAGAGGTATTCCGAAGACGCCGACGGTCTAGCAACCGCAGCTGAGAGTCAGCCAACCGGGAAGGGGTGCGCTCCTTCCGCCATCTTGTGTTGTTAACAAAATAGCGAGCAACTACAGTCCCTTGAAAACACACCACGTTGAGTTATTGTTAGGGCTCCGTGTTTTCGGAGTTTATTTTTCGTCAAATTCGAAGGGTGTTTTTCGGACTTCATTTTTTGCCGAAGATTCGGAGTTTATCGGAGTTTATATTTCTTTTATTCCCAATTCTCCGAAATTCGGAGTTTAATTTCGCTGTGTTTTCTATAAAAATAAATAAATAAAGAATAACCGAATGCAAACGTACGCCAGATAAAAAAAAAAGACGCGCTTGTATCAATTGAAATATTTTCAGTTGAATTTGGCGTTGGTGCCATTGCCATTGGCAATATTAATTTATCTATCGGATTTAAAAACAGCGCGAAAAGACGAGGACCAGACAAAGAAGTCACACGGACGTAGCGCTGTTTATCCACGACAAAAGTCACACACAAGTGGCACTTCGATAAACTCCGATACTTTAAAATCAATAAACTCCCGGAGGTATAGTCGCTAAGAAGCTCGTAGTCATCCCATCCTATTTCATCAATCTAGCCTGAGGCCGCGTGAGGTGGAGTGGTTAAGGAGGTAATAGTGAGTTTGAACTGCCCCTCTTCCCAATTTTATACAATCCCTATGGTCCATAACTTTCACTGTTACTAAAACATACCCTCTTTTTTCTCTAAATCACAAATCGCATGGCCCAAACTGGAAACCAAAAGAGTGGCTTTTGTCGTGACCCGAATGTACAACGAACGACCTGTTGCCCTGAATCAACCTTGAAGAGACAAGCGGCAAGACCACTTTTGACAGCGGTCCGAGATTTGAAAGATAATAATGGTGGCATTCTCCCAGGGCCATTATTTCTGTGCTAATAAAACTGTAAAAAAAACAAACAAATTTTTGACTTGGGGGGGGGGGGGGGGGAGCGTGGCTGTGACACATAAATATTCGGAGTCTATCGGATAAATCCGAATTGACCAAAATTCTACCGGCAGGTGTTTTTCGGAGTTTTTCGGATTTATCCGAAAACACGGAGCCCTAGTTATTGTTAAGTCGGCTAGCTCTAACAAGCAACAGCTCCGCAAATTCACCAAACTCTCTCGCTATAAATGGCTCCGCACAAGGTGGATCTGTTGTGCCATCCAGTAGTACACGTAGTACATGCTAAGTGCGCACTTAGTAGGCTTAGCACGTCCACCAGACGACCACCGAAGTCGACTAACTTCCGGCTGTCTAAACACACAACACTGTTATGTTCATACATCCAGGTAGCAACTCAACCCTGAGTGGAAGCCCACAGTTGCCCAGAATATGCAAACTAACTTGGCAAGTTTCGGCCTTTTCCATCTGCACGTTTCTGTACTAGTGAAAGCTGTGCCTGACATGGGCACTGGTTCCTCCACCTAATCTATAACAGGTTAGTTTAGTGGGAACGGAAGAGCCTTTACATGTGCTGGTCAAATGTGAAAACATGAAAACAAAACAAAAACATTAATGTTAAGTGCAACAAAAGACCTATCGCAAAATTACCCGAGCATCAAGGAGAATGCTGGAAATGCAGGTGCTTGCCTTCCCCATAGAAAAGACCCGAAACAAATGACCAAAATAGGGCGTCGACAAACGCGCATGCGAGATGCCATTTGTTTTTAGGCTTCTTCTTTAGAACGGTTCCACTGCAGACGCCAGTAAGCGCAGCAGGTGGAATCGCGTTTCCAGCGTTCTCCTCGATGCTTGGGTAATTTGATAATGGGTCTATCAAAGTTCACGAGGTAAATGAAATGTTACTGTGACAATTGCCTTTCAAAATTCACAAACGATGCCAAGAATGAAAGCGAGCAGGCAAGCACTCACTTCATACTTTACGAACCCGATACTTAGATTTGAGATTAGATTTAGCCTTTCTGTCTGAGCCGTTACCATGTTAAAGCCGATTGATTCCATTTTTATTTCAGTGCTTCGCTTGCGGCCGCTTACAATGACAAAACGCGCTGGCACACTGGCACCATCCATCAATTAAGACCTAGAACACTTCCGATCCCATCTATATTTTGCTACTTTTTTCTGCATCACTTTTTTGTCGTGTGCTCGAAATAATTCCGACAGCATTGCAAGCAACCATTTCGCAAATGTAGTGTGTGAGTTTGGCCTAACAAATACCGCAAAACCTTCAGTCTAAACGCCATCGCACTAGTTGGGTGCAGTACTGTGGGAGCTACGGCCAAGAGAGAGAGAGAGAGAGGCAAGCCTCTTTTGTGTGAATTTTAAGTCACAGGCTAATCTCCGAGGAAGAGCAAAACGACGTGGGGTTCACAAGAGGAAACTTCCTCCTTTCCCTCCTTCTTAACTGCTCGGGTTAAGCTCCCGCCCCTATGCTTTTGGTAACGCTCCGCCCAACTAGTGAAATAGAGCGTAGTTATATGCAGAGCATTAGAGTTCCAGGGATAACCAATAGATTTCGTAGGCAGTTACGAGCGTTCGCAACGCACGCAGTCACTCTCAAACGCTAACCTGCAAACCGGCCCCATCGAAACGCAAAGCTGCGTCGCGCCCGGCCGTACCTTGAGTGTGTTGATGAGGTCGAGGTTGACGTGGAGGGGCACGGGTGTGTGCTGCATCTCCCAGAGCTCGTGGAAGATGTGGGAGAGCTGTGCCATCTTGCGGAGGTTGAGCATGCCGTCCACCACGTCCGGGAATGCCACGTGCACGCAGATCAGGTCCTTCATATGCACGCCCCTGCACGCGAATGTGCGCTCAGCTATAGCCACCGCCGACGGCTGTGGCGCTCGAGCCAGGATGACAAACTCCTTTTAGTCATTCTCATCCCTTCAATGACTATAGAGTCATTAACACGAGATTTCGGTTCACTCCTGGGGCTTCGCTGAGACGCAGACGAAAGCCAGAATGTGCGTGGAGCGTCGCTCGATGGCTTAGGACACTCCCAAGTTGTTCCGAAGCGCACTTTAGAACTAGCGTGTGCCCGCAGGGTCAAACCCGAGATTTCGCCGCGAGCTCTCAAACTGTGGATTTGGAAAACTGCCTGCACAGTGGGGTAGATAGGATTCCGAAATCGGCTAGTTAGTAAAACTTGTGATGCAAACACGGTACACCTTGCATTGGAGTTGAAGCTGAAACATTATAGTTATTATTTTATACTTCATCATGCTCTGTTGATCGCACCGTTCTCCTGTCCGATGTGAAAAAAAAAATGTATGGCCTCCTTATCCAACATATATTACACGGGTAGTCTCGAGTGTCGAACATTGAGATTTTGGGTGACAAACTCACCTACTCCCTTCGTCCAAGTGTGATTTTGTTTCTCTCCTAAATGCTAGTTCGTCTCGATACTGTTGTTTGCTTCATGATTATATTTATAGATTGATAACTGAACATGAGTACTTTAAAAAGTCACACGTCTTGAAATCGTTTCTCGAAAGCGTTCCTTTGAAAGGCAATGATTTTATTTCATGAAAGAAATTTCAAAATCAAGAAAAAATTACCCTGACAATATGAGTCGGGTAAAGCAGAACATACCTAATGTGGCAAGAAAAAAACTAATACCTTATTTATTTGAAATAGCCAAAACCTTCTTATCAGCTTATATTTGATACAAGTCCTATTTGAACCCAAGATGTTAATTTTAGTTTTGGAATGCTGTTTAATGCTTGAAACTAGCTTCATCTTTACGAGTTAGCCCAGTACCGCACTGCTTCTGGAATCAGCCCATATATTTCTTTATTTAAAGGGACACTGACAGGGTATTTATGCTCTCCAAGGTTTTTATTTGTACATGACATATGAGAGCCCAACTACCCAGAAAACAATTCGCAGCTCAAAATTCATTTTCTTTCCACTCCAAAACCGTCAATGGAGAACTGGCCTCTTTGAGCTGCACTTACTCTCTTCTCCATGGTCACGTGCAGTTTTCTATGGCTTAGACACAACCACCAAATATAATCAAAGTCGTGAGTCATCTAAGGCACATGAATAATATTAAAAATAGTTAAGAAATGTGGCACTCATTTTTCGTGGATTCTAAAAAGCTGCAAATATGTTGATTAAAGAAAAAAAAAAGTTACACAGCCACGTGACTTCTGTCAGCTCTCTCGTCTTCTATATCCTCCAAGGGTCAGTTTCAGTTTCGAGCAGTTGCATTTTTTTACTTTATTAAAAATATATGCGACGCTGTGGCAAAATATTAATTCGGTAGCCTTTTGACACCCATAATAAAAAATTTTGGGGTCTGTCAGTGTCCCTTTAATAGTCATCAAGCCAAAAAATTATTGTCGGTGGTGATTTCAGTGAAAAAATATTTTGTTAAAAAGAAAAAAAAAGGAACGTTGTCTTTCTTGCAGACAAGATTTTTCATTGAAATAAACACTAAAGGCATCCAGAATGCAATTTTTCAATTTGGCAAATATCTAACTAAACGTAAAGTAAAAAAAAAAAAATTTTTATTATTTAGGTAACGTTATGTTTTTAAACGTTTGCATCCTATCACTGCCACTAGCGTCACATTCTCACAGCTGAGGTTTCTTTTTCTTTTCTTTTTTTCTTTGGTGCTGTCCTTTATAGGCTTGGGGGTGAAAGCATAATTATAACCAAAGAAGGCACATCTACAACAGTGAGCAAAATGTCCGAGACCATGGAGCCAACCGAACCGCCCGACACATCACTATTTCACCTTGCACACAGATACGAAGCAGTGAAACACGGCAAAAGAAGTTCAAGAAAACTGAAGATATCATTCGTAATTTTCAAATACTCAAAAAACTGGAATACCTCTAACAGTACAAACGTGCTGCGAACCAAATCCAATAACAAACACTTCGCAAATTATTCAAGGTTTCAAATACTATTTGCACACCTCATGGTAGAAAGCAAGTCGTCTGCTTCTTGTGTTGGAGTTGCGGCGACATCAGAACGACGTCGAGCTCCGATGGGCTTTGATTGAAAGGATAGTGGGCAGACCTCAATGCTAGATGCCTTGAGGCCTTCTGACTATTTTTTTCAATCAGCCAATAAGAGCTCGGCATTCTGACATCATCGCAACCCCTGTGCAAGAAGCAAACAAACTCGCGATCTGCATATATGACGCATTTCAGTAAAAGCTTGGATGTTCTGTGACTGGCCTGCAGAAACCTTGCTCCGCTTCCCCGGCCCCACATGTCAGAGGTACTCACAGGATGGGTATCCTGAAGTCTCTGGCGTCGGCCAGCGCCTTGCGGTAGTTGCTGAAGTTGCCGGCCGAGGAGAGGAGGGTGGCGTACTGGGCCAGGGTGCGGCGAGTTTCCCCTGTCAGACAGCCTGTCGTCTGGGACAGCCTGGCGAGGGCACTGTGGTTCAGGCCCCCAACCACCGCCATCAGGGAGCTGAAGTTCTGGAGCTCCAGCAGGTTCTGGGAGCGGGCCAATGAGACAATACGGTCACACCCAGAGCCACTGCAACAGTCCCTAGCGCACCTTCAACTCCCGAGCGTCCTTTCAGAACCGCGCCACAGTATCACGCTCGGGCCCTGTGCAACGGAGTTGGGACAGAGCTGGCAGAGGAACAGAATCGGGGCAGGGATTGTGTCTTGCGTTTGTTTAGACAGCAGAAAGTTAGAGCCCCAATGGGCGTAACTGATGGCCCTGCTGTAAACGAGAAATTTAGCCACTGCTCCGATCTATGGTGCCTTAACACACTCGGCCACCAATCCCCTGAATTGAGACAGAGCTGGTAAAGCCTTTTCACGGGATGCAAGAAGCACTGAAGAAAACCAATGGGCCGATCACGTACTGACCGATCACTTACCGGCCGGTCGCTTACCAGCCGATCACATACCAACCAATCAGTTGCCAGTCGATCGTTTACTGACCAATCACGTCACCGGCCGATCACGTGCCGCCCAACCATGACTCGTCACCTGTTCAGAGCTTCCAAGTCAACACGACCGACACCAGCCAATAGGAAAGCTCGAATGGCCAGATTCTCCAGTTCCAGGAGACACTACTAAATACAGAACCCCGAGAATGTTTGTTGGCTCTAGGTCAAACTTTGTGTACCTTGCTGACAGCGTGACGTAGCAAGGACAAGTTTCAGGGTATGTCGGCGCAGCGGCTTACACTCACCCGAACACAAACGAGCCGAATGGCATAAAACACAAATCATTGTGAGGACTAACCAAGGCCTCAGCGCTGCCATCAAACTATTTCTTCGCAGACACCTATCCACACACAGTGGCACCGACAGCAAACATTCTACATATACCGACGATGGGAGGCTACCACCCAAAACACTGCCTCGCAAGGCTTCAAAGACAGCTCATTACTTGTGCCGGTTTCAACGCAGTCACCTGACCATGATTAATCCGGAAAGTGTACAAGCTGAATTACAATGCCTGGAACGCACTTTCGACAGGAGCGATTGGTGTCCTATACTAGACACACACCAAGGGGACGTCCCAAAATGGCAACAAATGACGTCAATGCAGGCCGGCCCATTTTGCTGTTGGATGTCACGATCCTAGTAGTCAGTCGCAGAAATTCCGGCCAAGAGGATGAGTGAATGCACGTGTCGCCGTCGACGCTGCGTCCCACCTTCCGGCTGCCAAGGCTTCCGTGGACTGTCAGGCTCGATAGCAACCTACAGCAAAGTGAGCGTCTGCTGCACCCACTTATGCTGCCATGCCGCAGGAAACAACGCGATACTTCTGCGATGGCATCGGGGATAAACCGAGGGACAACAATAAAGAATGCGGTAAACGCACCTGTCAGTGACGCGTTCCAGGCAGTTCGGTGTTCAGCAAATACTTCAGCGAAAGATCTGTCAAGCCTGCAGCACAATCTCCTGCTCACCACTCTACCAAGAGCGCCGTGGCGTGTTGGCATCCTCGGCTACCGAACCCTTCGTATACACGAGGTTCGTTCGATTCGTCCCATCTACCGCCACAGCTGCGCTCATTGCACGCCACCGTCGTCGGCTTACGAATTAGTCCGTCTGAAAATGCAACCAGACGTATGCTGCCCCGCACTTCTCTGCACCGTGCTACACTTTTCCGCAAATGTGCAGGCTGGTGTGGGTAAATCGAGCGAGCCGACGAGTTGCACGTGACGTCATCCCGTCATGCTAATAATCCATTCCCACTCGTTCACAAAAAAAAAAAAAAAATTCGACGGTGCAAGATTTACATTTTAGAAGGCACCCATTCAGCAGCAAAACAAACCGCAATGGCCGCCGCCGAGACGTCAGTCCAGGTCGGGTATTTGTACGAGGATCACAAGATCGGCAAGGCAATGCCACTCGCACGGTCACCTTGGCGACGTCGACGAACTTGGTGACGATCTCGGCGCGCTGCTGCGGCAGCGACCGCGAGAGCACCATGCACTGCGTCCACTGGGAAAGTCCGTTGAACTGGGAGATGGAGCGCTCCAGCCGCGGGTTCTTGTCCAGGTTGCCCTGCTCCGCATACTGCTTGAAGTCCAGGAACTGCGATGCACGCCGTCGTTTTAATTTTGACGAGCCCGGGGCAACAAACAACGCTCGAAACTCTGACTATTTGCTGCCGCTACAGTTGGGTCGAACACGGTTTCTCTCCAAGGAGCTTGTTAGTGCGAGAATATTTTTCTTCGGCGTTTCTAGGAGCTTGGTTCGCCAGAGAATTTCCAAAGTGCCAGACTTGAGCCAGAGACGTAACGTATAAACCGAAGAACCAGCAGTGAGGCCTAAATCTGGCACTTGTTTGGTAATTTAGGCCCAAAGTTGCCACACGAAAACCAACAGCCAGAAATGAAGCCTAAATCTGGCACTTGTTTGGCAATTTAGGCCCAAAAGATGCCAGATTAAAGCCAAACTAATAGCAGTGAGCCTAAACTTGGGACTAGTTTGGCAAACTAAGGCCAAGATACCCAGACTCTGGCCAAAGAAGGTCAAGTTTGGCTCTACTTAGGCTTCCTCGGTCCTCTCAATTTCCGAAATTCCCGGACAGAAACCAAATTTCGCCCTAAAGAACTGCGCTACCCGGGCCATCGTCGTAAAACGGGGGCGATGGGGACGTCCACTCACGGTGATGCGCCTCATGACTTTGTGCTCGATGTAGGTGAGGTGGTCGGCCAGCTCCCTCGCCTCCAGGTGGTCAAAGACCAGCGACACCTTGCGGGTGTGTTTGGTGAGCGGGTGACGCACCGACACGCAGCGCGTCCAGTCCTTGAAGTTGGGCAGCCGGGACGGGTCCACCAAATCCGAGAGGGCGTCGTGGCCCTCCTCGCACAGCCGGTTTTGGAGCAGGCACAGCACCTGCTTCATCTCCGACGCCTCGAAGTGCAGCGGGAACTTCTGGACCCAATACCTGTGCACGTGCATTCGTGCCCTTTCAGGCCTAGTTCAAGGTCGTGCCTGGCTGGAAGCAACGTCAGGGGCAGATACGACTGGAACACTTGCCTATCACTAAATTAAAGGTTTCACAGCATTCTTGCGAGGTCAAATCTAAGCCTTATACATCAGGAAAAAAACACTCGAGCGTATCTGGGCTGCCCAATAGATGGCGCCACGGTTGCCTTTAGTCGTAGGTGGTCACGAGCAGCTGTGACGCAGTCAACTGCGCTCAAAGGCTAATTTGTGAACCAGCCTTATGGGAGTTTAATGGGACCCGTGTTTTGACGACGTAACGCCCAGGAAGACGTTCCTGCCAAGAATGTAAAAGTGAGGTTCTCCTAAGAGTGGCACACCACCACTCTTAGTAGAACCTTACTGATATAGTAGAATGCCACCAAGCACCAGCGCCGCATGCGGTAGCGGTGCGAAGGCATGCACTAGTTTTGCCGGTGTGTGGACAAGGTTTCGGTATATAAAAAAACGCCATCATAAAGCAACCTGTCGCCGAGAATTTCAATCGGCTCACCGAGAATGGAGAGGTCAAGAAAACTCCTCATACCATGAAACAAAATGGCAACCATACAGGGAGCTTGGCACTACTTTCTTAAGATCCAGTGTCTTTAGGCTTCACCACACGATATGGCTACTTTGAGGAAAACTGCCCCGTCCTACTGGCTTTGCCGCACGCTACGAATGCTCTGTTGCGAAATTCGCCCCATTCTGCTGGCTCTGCCGCATGGCATGACTACTCTGTGGGAAAATCTACCCCCTTCTGCCGGCTTTGCCACAAAGTGTGGCTACCTTGTGGAAAATCAAGCATGCTAAACACACGTATATACTGATATCCTATATTCCATTTTCACCTTCTGCTGTACTGCAGGAAAGGCTACAAAGGCGAGCTCCTTGCTCTAGGGCACATCTCGGTGGCACAAGCTCTCGTGCATTAAGGGCAGCTGCCAATGCTATGAGCTTGCGCTTCCATCCTTCCCTGCGGTACAACATAAGGGGAAACGAAGTATAGGAAGGCCAGCCTCCCTAAGGCTAGCACTACAATATACCCTCACAAATGACTTCATGAGCTGAAAAAAATGTATGTAAGTTTGGTTTTTATATTTTGTGGGCCATCTTAGTCAGCGTAATTGCAATGCAGTGGACACTACCAACAAGGCTCACCTGAACACTTGGCAGATCTGTGCCTTGTGCCTGTAGACTGGACAATGGGATGCGTGTTGCAGCGTGTGGGCGCAGGGAAGGAGACATCGTCGCTGCGTTCCGACGCTCCCAAATCTGGGTCGAACCAGAAGCTAAGGAAAAAAAGCTCAGTTCCAGAAAGTCAACAAACAACTTTATGACAACTGCAACGGTGCATCCTCGACTGTACACGTCTTTTCCCAGAAGGATAATGCCGCCTCCACATTTATTTATTTATTTGACACACTGCAGGCTTTTTCAGGCCCTGGCAGGTTACACTACATTCGACACAATACATAGGTACATAAGAGAGAACATAGTATGATATTACGGCATTGTATAAAATTTCAATCAAGCAATGACACAGAAATTGACACAGTTTCGTCTCATTCGACGAGGGTAGTGTACACGAACACATGCTTTCATCCGATTACATTCAACAAATGCTGATACAGTAAAAAAAAAGTGAATGGTTTTAAGGATATCCTATATGTAAAATCAATGACAGTGTGGATTATGAAATTTCCTGAAAGTGCTTAAAGGCCGACGACCAGTTCGCGCTTTACACTTCTCTCCCGATTCCTCCTCTCCCCCTTCTACCCTGTACACCGTTGCCTGCTTCCTCCACCCCCACGGTGAGGAAGATCTTCTGCCTTGCAGAATCTCCAGTCTGGTCGTCGGCCTTTAATCAAGCTATCCACGAACTACTGCGTTTCACAAGTTGTGATCGATTCCTCCGGCAATAAGTTCCAATCTTCAATGCTATGAACGAAGAATGAATACATGAATGTGTCATTATTGCTGAACTACGGTAGTGTGGTTAGTTTAATTTGAGTGACTGTGTGCTTTTTTTTTTTTTTTTTTTTTCAAATAATAATTGGTGCTTATTTTAAGGTGACCATGATAAAGTTAATGTATGAACTTTAAGCGCACAAAATTCCGTCCAACTCCAAGACTTTGCAATTTCGATTGATGAATGAACACACTCTCTGCACACCTATATTTAGAAAAAATAAATCGCAAGTCCCAGTTTTGAATTTTACCTAAATCGTACGATAGATATAATTGGGAAAGGTACCAAAACAACGCTCGCGTATTCTAATGTAGGCCGAATTAATGACTTACAGGTGGCTATCGTGCCTTCTAGTGTTGCATTTTTTAACCGTCTCCTCAGGAAGCCCAATTTTCGGTGAGCAATATTACACACATAATTAACATGTGTATCGAATTTTACAAGTCCTGTGTTACTTAACTCCTGGGCATTTAACTTGGTCTGTTTTTATTAGGGGGGTGGAACAAATCCCGTACAGAAATTCAGGAACTTTGTTTTTGTGGGTTATGATCATTGCTATTGATTTCTGGTAATTCATATTCATTCCCCATTCTAGGCACCATTGTGATAAAGTATTTAATGACGAATTCAAGTTTCCCTGATCCTTCTGGTTGGTTATATTAGAATACCAAATGCAGTCGTCCACAAAGAGATGGGCGAATGGATGTGGATGGGCGAATATTATTGCCTATGTCATCTACATAGATGAGAACCAACAAAGGCCCGAGTACCAAGCCCTGTGGCACAGGGAACACATGCCGACTTTTGTGCAACTGTAATAAGCGCAGGGAACTTTTGAGTGCTACAATGGAAGAACTAGCGGACACCTTCCCCAGGACTAGAGCCTGCAGTGGCACAGAGCAGCAGGGGACGGGTGTTATGAATTTCGCCTTCCCTGTTTCCGTTTAAGTGGCTCCGACACCAGTCAGAGTCTGGAATTGAAGAAAATGAACTGCCCTTTCCCTTTATTCTCGAGTCAAATTTTATCACATACAATGGGAAAGCTGCGGTTCCCATCGTATCCATAACGTCGGAGAAAAACATCAAAGCAGAGTTTAAAGCCCATAAACACGGGCTTAAATGCCGACGACCAGACTCGAGATTCTGCAAGGCAGAAGATCCTCCTCATCATGGGGGGGAGAAAACATTCAACGGTGGACAGGGTAGAAGGGGGGAGAGGGGGAAGCAAGGGAAATGCGGAAACCGCGAACTGGTCGTGGGCCTTTGAGAACCAGGCAAAGCCAAGTTATAGTCCCACAAGCAGACTTGAAAGATGCTAAAAGTTAGTTTACATCCTATGAGGACACTCTAGTGGCTACCAGGGATATAAGAAAAGATGTCCTCTTCTTTGTATGCGGCTTATGCTTACCTTAAGTTCCCATAACTTCGCTGAAACCGGTCCATAATACGGGCTGTCCACTGAGAACCATGCTCGGGGATATTCTTTCTTGGCATTTCTAAGGCTACGAGGGGATGGCGAACAACTTTAACCCTTTGTTGATGAATTCCGCCCACAGGCAACAAACCCCATAATAATGTTTGTTTAATAGTTTCGGTTTTATTGTGTTTGTTTTAATCTAGTAGTCAGGCAACAGTCTTGAAGATCAAAACTTCACTGCCATCTAGAAAAAAAATATGCAAAAGGTTGACAAAAAAAAAAAAAGAAGTTTGGCGGAACGGCGAGAAATGTGGATGTGTTTTTCTCTTGCCACTGATATCTTACGATAGGAGACCATTTTACTTGAGTCTATCGTATGCACAGATATTATTGACATTTTATAGTGACCCACTGAAGTTAAGCAAGAGAGCCACTTTCTGACTTTTCCCTGGTGTTGCCCACAGGCAACTAAGCTAAACTTGCAAGTTTGTTTATTTTGCGATTTATTTTTTATTTAAGCTCTGTCCTTTTTTATTTGATCGTGTTAAACATTATTATCTTAAAAAATAAGTGTTTCAAGCAATTTCTGTATACTGTAAACGACTAAATTTTCGCAGGGACTTAATTTTCGCGAATTTCGCGAATCGCCTACAATTCGTGAAAAATATGTCTCGTGAACAATTCGGGGAATATGTGAACGCTACGGAAGCTACAGTCGATGCGCAAAAATTAGAACCCGCGAATAATTTCAAATTTTAAGCTTTGGCCCGATTCGCGAAAATTTGAGTCCGCGAAAAATAAGTCGTTTACAGTATCTCGTCAATAAAGCATTAATCGGCGCTCCAAACGGGAGAAGGCACTCAAAAAAGAAAGTTGTCCTTGAGTATAAGGCATGTAGCAGTGCCATTTTTCTCCCTTTCTAGCCAGAGAAATCGAGACGGCATGAAAACACGTATTTGCTACCTCGTGCGTTTGTCACACCCTGGTTACCCGCTGCCAGCTGCAAAACGCAAACCACCGTTGCCTTCTGACAAGAAGACAAAACGGAGCTCCAGGCTTCAAACCGGAAACCACCAAAAGGATACTTGTCGACCAGGCAGAGGGCCAGCTTCTCGGAGGTGACAAACCACTCGTGCATCAGGAGGAAGATGTAGGGGAAACGGTTCTCGTCGTCTTCCAAACCTCCCACGGGAACTGCGCAAGCAGGGGTGGCACGCGCTATGAGGGTGGCCTTGTCCGACCTCCGGCGACAGGCCGTTTGGCTCGGTGCCATCTCGTCTGTACCCAACTTGGGTGCCGCAAAAACACAAGACGCGACACTGCAGAGCTGCTCTTTCTCATTTAGCCTTGTCGGTTCTTTACGCCAACCGTGTTGCACCCTGCACCTGCGTTGCGACTGGGTTGCCAACGCCAAGCCGTGGCGGCTGTGGCGCCTGGAACACGTCACCAACCGGTGCGCGTACCGAGTCCTCAAACGTGGTCCCTCGATTCTGGCCAGACGACGTCATAGAAGCGTCGTGCTTTTGCCTGCTGTGAATGCGGTAACGTCACGGCAGCGGCAGTGGACGCAGCGGACTCCCGTTCTGCCACGGTTCGCTCTTCCGCTCAACGGTCCGTCAAAATTTCGGCAACCGGGAGTCGGGATGCCGCGATGACGGCGATGCTCACGTTGGTTTGCACCTTTTGCTGGAACTTCCGAGACCGACCGCCAGCATTGCGACACCTGACGACGCAACGCGACGGTCTCACGACATAGTTTTTTGCTGCTCCAGCCACTTTCAATGCGTGAGGGATACAAAACACTCAAAGGACAGCTCCGGTCGATATTTTTTTTTTGATTTAGGATTACAACTGTTCTCAGCCAAAGCAGTGCCCATAAGTTATGAGGTATCCTTTTTTTTTTTTTTTAATATTGTGAGTTTTTTTATAAATATTATGGCTTGAAGTTTGGTTTTGGACGCCTACGGCATAACCGAAACTATCTGCTGGAGGGATGGCAACACCAATCGCCAGCCGTAAGGCCGCGATGCAACGTCACCGTGGTGCTGGAGTACACGGAATGACCGATCGACCGCAGATCCATCGCGACGCAATATCACGAGGGTGCTGCGCCGGCGTTCCTCTACTGAAAGCTAAGCCTCTTACTGCCCACTAATGAGCAGCTGGTTGCAGCTTTAAAATCGCTTTTTAGTGGCTTATGCAGCCTTCCTTCAACGTAACATTTTGGCTTCTATCATATTTCGTGCCACTAAAGCAACGCCAGTCATTTATTTTGGTTTCGTTTTCAACCGGCATTGCCCTTTAACGGGCATCGTGCCTAGATGGCGCTACACGGATGGAGCAGACGGCGACTCACGGAAGCAGTCAATGAGGAAGGCGACGGCGGCGTCGAAGGTGGCGGAGCGCACGGCGAACCCCGGCACCGCTGGGTTCTCCGTGTCCATCACCAGGCAGGGCTGGGGCGTGGGTCCGGGGTTCGCCTTGGGGGAGCTGCCCATCGGGGTCTGGGTGCGCCCGCTGGGCTCCTGGGGTCCCATCGGCCGACCAACCCCCCCGCCGGTCAGGAGTCCCCCCTGAACCGCCGCCACGGCTGAAGGGGTGGAGAAGGGGGCGAGGTTGCCGCAACAAATCGATAAAGGGCTACTTCACTTCCACGAGGGTAGAAACTGGGGGAGGGGGGCGTCAGAACGTCGAGCTCCGGTCGGAACGGTTAGTCAGTAGATGTGGGGTAGACCCTTTTCACGTAAACAAACGCAGGTCAACCCAGGCCTCCCAAGAGACTTCCAGTCGCTCCATTTCGGCAGGCCTTCCGAGCCTGTTAGAGTCGCAATTCCTAGGATCACGAAGTTCTACGGAAATCACAAAGTTGGGGATCTAGCTAGGTCCTTATGCTGTGCTATGCGACACGTAAGGGGGGGAACGGTCGTCTTACGGGAGAATTAAAGAACATCTCCAACAGACCTCTCGCTAACCGGTCCTTTAGCTACCCACCTGGAAAACTGGTCTATCAAAATAATTTCCGAACGCTGCAGGAAGTGGTGCAACGGCAGGGATTGTGTATCCTCTCATCTGACCGGAAGTTTGCGGGGACATGAAAAGTAACAGCGCCTCCTTTCGGTGCTTTCGAAAAAAGATTACATAGTAATAAAAGAAAATACCCCAACCAAAGCCCTATAAATGTCACCCAACGTTTTGAAACCTGCTCGGTTTCTTCTTTGGGGGTAACTAGGTCACATGGGGCAGCAGCACGAGGAGGCAAGCAGAGGCTCTCCGCCTTTTTAGTCTGCCAAGAATAACCCATTCCTACAGAGGCGGTTCTTTGTTAATTGTGAAAAATGGCAGTTCTGTAGAAAAGGGTTGTTCTTTACAGACAAAGAAGATGAGAGCTGCTGCTGTCCCGTACGATTCAGTCACCCCCCAAGAAAAAACCAATCAGGTTTCGAAATGTTGGGTCACTTTCTTTAGGGCTCTGGTTGGAGTATTTCTTTTTTACAGTCATGTCTAGTTTATATAGACCCCGTTAATATGGAGACCCCGCTATAGGGACACCATTTTCGAGGACAAACTGGGAAAATACACGCACTTTTGTCTCCTTATTATGGACAATTTTTGGGGGGAAGTAGCAGAGGTGTCCATATTAACGAGACATCACTGTATTACTGTAGTTCCACCCAACCAGACAGATTTCTGTCCCAAATGTTTATGATCAAGTCTTTGTCAATTCTCTATTTGCTTGCTTCTTCGCCCCCCCCCCCCCCCCCCTTCATCCGGCAAATAAGGCAAAAGTTTCCGTCACCTGTGATGGAGTCATGCCGCCGCGACGTGAGGCTGGCTTAGGAGAGCGTCGCAGTCTTGGATGGCTCAGCTACGAGCTGCTGTCGTCGGGCTGTTGGAAGAAGAAAGGCACGCCCAAACACTTAAAGGCGTCCCGTTTAAAGGGGTACTCCGGCCATTTTTCGAGCTACCTAAACATATTGCATTTTCTGACTACCTGGACTTCAGTAGTCATGGTATGCTATTTATTTTCTCGAAATTTAAAATAGCAATTGAGAAAACCATAAATGAAGATGATACCGAAACCAGCATTCAAATTTTCGCGCGCTCTCCAGTGGTGTGACGTCACACATGGTACAGACTTTCAGGTCGTGCATGTAGTCTCAAACAGAGTACGTCGAGTGTTTGTTGCGTGCTTCTCAGTGAATCAATTACCAAACATTCTTTTCCCACCACCAAACGTCTTGTAATGAGTTGGGAACATGGCTTACTGCCTACTTTGTACCATTTCTGTCGTCACACTTCAATGTTGCCAGTAGGGGCTCCCGGTCTGAGAAACACAATGAAAATGAAATTCGAAAATTCATTAACTTCACGAATTTCTTTTCTTTTCACACAATAGTTGGGGAACTCGTAGAGCCATGTCTATCGGTATGTTGAGCCAATTTTGAGGCAAATCAGCGACCATGAAAAAATCGCCAGAGTACCCCTTTAATGCCTTGCTGTACATCAGAAACACAAGGTAGTAACTTGACCCTTTAACCTCGTACTCAAGTTGTAGTGTCGGCCATCATATAGCACTTCTGTAATATTGAGTGTTCAGATTCAAACAAAACAATTTTATCTGTCTCTCTGATAAATCCGATGAAAACAAAATGTATCTTGTGTGCATCCTGTGGGGCGGATAAACAGATACACGAGGTGCACAAAGAGTGGATGAACTTGCATGCCGTACAGTCTTCTGAAGATATTGTGTGCCTTCGCTGATCGGAATTTCCACATCTGTTAATAGAGCGAAGCCTCTCAAAAGATATGCACACGCACCAATTCCGCCCGGACGCCCAAAGAATCGCATAATATATATTCTGAGCTCTCGCAATTTTTGTGCGAAAGGAAAAAGCGCATTGATCAGAAAGTGGTGTCCTACAGTATGTCAGACAAGTGGGCTCCAGTACAGAAAATACGCAATTTCGTCATACAATTATGACCTCTACCGGAGAGTGACTAGGTCTGTCGCAATTACGAGCGATACTGGTGCTTGAAATGATTGGTACAACCGCACACAATGCGGTCTTCCAAATCTAATGACATTGAAAAAGGCGTGGTGACCCATGAAAGGTTAGATGTAAAATGGACACCAAGATACTTGTAGGATGGACACACACTAAGAGATGAAGTGCCTAATGTGTATGTGAACTGCGAAAGAGATAGTTTGCGAGTGAAGTTTATGACCTGGCATTTGGATTTATCAAGTAGCATTAGCCATTCTTCACACCAGTTATTAATGCTATCAAGAACATGCTGCAGTGGTATGCGGTCATCTGGAGTGTTGATTCTTCTGTACAAGACACAGTCATCCGCAAACAAACATTCATTTGAAAACAAAGCATTTGGAAGGTCGTTAATGCAGATAAGAAACAATCAATGACCCTAGACGCTGCTTTGCGGAATGCCAGAGGTCACATTAGTAAGGTCAGATTGAAAGTCATTACAGACAGTATACTGAGAGTGAAACGATGGAAAAATGCAAATCCATGCGTTTTAAGCTGCACTTTAACAAACTTTGACAAGTACAGACTCTGTAAACGAATTAGACACCCTGGAGCCATATCGAAGTTCATCTAATCATAATGCCGGAACTTCCAACCGCACTTCAATTCTTCATCTGGATCAGGGCTCATCTGGGCGTGACGCAAGAATTTCCAATCGGACTCCAGCTCTGTCATAACTAGGGTTCAGTGTTTTCAGATAAGTCCGAAAAACTCCTAAAAACACCCGCCGGTAAAATTTTGGTCAATTCGGATTTACCCGATGAAGTCCGAATTCATAAAAAGAAGGTACTTCACAATCTGATCAGCTCATGGCCAATGGTACTGGGAAAATGCCACCATAATTACCTTTCAAACCTCGGACCATTGTCAAAAGGGGTCGTACCGCTTATCTCGTCAAGGTTCATTCAGCACAACAGGTCAGTGTACATTTGGGTCACGACAGAAGCCACTGTTTTGGTGTCCAGTTTGGGCCATACTACCGTAAAATCCCGAGAGATAGCCCACCTAAAATCAAGAAAAAATTGGGTGAAAATAAAAAGTGGGCTAGCTTTCGGTGTGCAATCAAGAAAAATTGCAATAATGCTACTTTTAGATCATGTGTCTCTGTCAAAACTCTTTATCGCGACAAAGGGCAATGAAGCAAAGATGACTACTTCCCAGACAGCAATGCTCGCTTATATCCCGCCATAACTATCTAGACGCATTTACACCAAGGTCATCATTGATCTGAACACTATGATTACTAGGAGTGGGCTATCTTTCGGCGTTTAAAAGAAAATAGCAAATCGAGCCAAAAATAGGTGTGGGCTACCTTTTGGGGGTGGAGCATCTCTCGGGATTTTACGGTGTTTGTGCTACAGAAAGGAGAGGTTACGTTATGTTTTTGTAGCAGTGAAAGTTATGAACCATAAAGATATAATGGGAAAAGGGGCAGTTGAAACTTCTCTATTACATCCTTAAGCGGTTTTGCCTTGAGTGGTTTTGGATAGATTGATGGAATAGGATGGAATGAATATGAGCTTCCCAGCAACTACCTCCGCAAGTTTATTGTTTTAAGGTATCGACGTTTATTGAAGCAACACTTCTGTGCGACTTTTGTCATGGGACAAATTAGTATTGCTAATGGCCATGGCACCAATGCCAAATCCAGCTGAAAAAATTGATACAAGCGAGTTTTATTTTTTTTATCTGGCATATGTTCACATCCAACTCTTTTTTTATTTATTTATTTTTAATTGGAAACACTGTGAAATATAAACCTCAAAATTCGGAGTACTGGGATATCAAACAAAAATAAACTCCCATAAACACCCTCTGAATTTAACGAAAAATAAACTCCGAAAACACGGGACCCTAGTCATAACGTATTGTGTGGGGTGGAAGCGCTAATGCTAACACTTGTATAAACAATATTTGTTATTTTTGCTAACTTTAGAAGCGTCATGAATAAGGGGAAATATTTGTCTTCAGTTGTTGACCCTTGTGACGCTGACATTGTTGTTCTCACTGAGAACGTAACAGTGAATATTTACACTGTCTAAACATTTCCGTTTATTTCGTCACAATAGGAAAGAAAGAAATGGTGGTGGAGTGTTGATCGCCGTGTCAGAAAATATTGCATTGTTCCACGTTAACATTGTATCCAAGCTTGAACTAACGTCGGTTGGTCTCAACTTAAAAAAACAAAAATATATCATAGGCGTGTGTCATCGCCCTCTGTTATGCAACTTCACGACGCAATGAAAGCAGTAGTTGTTCGGTTGCCAAACGAACCAGTAATACTGCTGGGCGATTTTAATTATCCTTCCATGATTTGGTCATATGGAGGCACTAATCTTAGTACCTTGTCTTCAGAATGTAGCGAGTTTGCAAATTTGTGCCTCAATTTCAATTTTCACAAATGGTTCCACAACAAATGCACATAGCTGTATCAACTGCTTCCTTGTTGGACCTTATATTAACAACATCCCCCGAGCCCATCTCTCTCAGACATGTCTGGTCTCAGCGATCATCCTTTACTGCATTTTTCATTAAACATACCTACATGCCTTAGGTCTAAGCAAATTAAACAAATTTTTGATTATGCTAGGGCTGATTTTGAACCCATCATTTTGAAGCCTTTTTCTAGATGGTTATCTGCATTGTGTTCAGGAATGCTCAGTAGAGCAAAACTGGCACCTGTTTAAGGAAAAGGTTGCACCCTCATAGGCTCGCACGTGCCTTTTCGCACCATATTTTCATCTCCCGGCGGCTTGAAACAACCATGCTACAGCTATCGTTCTCGTTTCTTTAAACATTGTGGGTGAAAAATACCTTTTTACATCACTTCACCAGCCATGCTAATAAACGATCTGCGCAAATTTTGGAAAGCTACTAACCCCGATACAAGTTTTGGCATCATGCTTACAGACGATGAAGGTGAGAAAGTGGCTAGTGAGCTATGTTTTTTTGTTTAATGAAGTGTTTGCCAAATTATTTTTGAGACCATTGCTCTCCTGTTGTTCCAGCCTGTGAATTTTTACCAATGTATACCATTCTTATAGACTCTGAAGGAATTGCTAACGTTACCAGGAACCTGAAAATACCTTCGAACTTTCTGCTCATCAGTCTGGTAATAATGCCACTTACTGGTGCAATGTCTGGCATATGGAACTTAAAATCACTAAATGTAAATCTATGAGGTTCTCCCATTAAAAAATTACATGTCCTTCTTACTTTCTTAAAAAGTTTCTCCTTCTTACTGTGATCTCGGTGTTCATTTAATTAATGATCTGTCCTGGAATATTCATGTCGACTATGTCACTAACGGTGCGAATCAACTACTAGGTTACATCAAGCAAACTTTTTCTTTTGCCACCGTTTCATTAAAACTTCTTTATAAAACTCTTGTTCGTACCAAACTTGAATATGCTACGTCTATCAGGGACGCCAGTATCACCATCTCAGCTGCAATACGATCTGTTCAAAATCGCTCCGCTCGTTCTATTTTTTGCAACTATCACCGCACAACTGGCGCCACCACCATGAAAGAATCCTTGCCATTGCTCAATCTCTTACTTCGTAGAAAAATATCTCGTCCAAGTTTGTTCCACAGGATTTATCATTCTAACCAAACACTTTGTTCTGCGCCTGTTTTCCGAACCATATTACATATCATCACACATTGATCACGAACTAAAAGTTAGAATCCCCCGCTCTAATACGTCCACTTTCAATGCTTCTTTTTTTTTTGCAAAAAACCTACATAGATTGGAATCGCCTTCCCACAACAAAATGTCGCAATACTGACTGACACTGATGATTCTAGAGTTCCAATTACTAATTTTTTACATGATGCATT